GAAGGAGAACTGAGATATACTACAGGAAGAAAAACATTATGATGGATTCAGAAGGTTCTGTCCCAACGAATTCGAAAGAATATCTAAGCAATGACATAACAGCTACCTCTGGTAAACATTATCTTTGTGGCTACTGTGCAGCCTTCACAAATATAGCAGTCACTTTTCCCATCCAGAAGGTCCTTTTTCGACAGCAGTTGTATGGTTTGAAAACAAAGGATGCAGTACATCAGCTGCAGAAGGATGGAATTAGAAATCTCTATCGTGGCATCCTTCCTCCATTAATGCAGAAAACAACAACACTGGCTCTAATGTTTGGCTTGTATGAAGATTTCTCTTCCCTGCTCCACAGCCACACGAGTGCTCCTGAACTCCTTACTCGCAGCATGGCAGCAGTGCTTGCAGGGACCACAGAAGCTGTTCTTACACCTTTTGAGCGAGTACAGACTTTGCTTCAGGACTATAAACACCATGATAAATTTACAAACACTTACCAGGCTTTCAAGGTACTGAAAGTCTATGGGATGAGAGAATATTATCGGGGATTGGTGCCTATTCTGCTCCGAAATGGACCCAGTAATGCACTTTTCTTTGGCCTACGGGGACCTATCAAACAGTGTCTGCCTGAAGCAACTTCTTACAGCGCTCACTTGGTCAATGACTTTATCTGTGGTGGGCTGTTGGGTGCCATGCTGGGATTCTTGTTTTTCCCAGTGAATGTTGTAAAAACTCGCATGCAGGCTCAAATTGGTGGTGAATTTCAGTCCTTTTCAAAAGTCTTTGTGAAGATCTGGCTGGAACGTGATAGAAAACTGATCCACCTTTTCAGAGGAGCCCATCTGAATTACCATCGTTCTGTCCTGTCCTGGGGCATTATCAATGCAACCTATGAATTCTTGCTAAAGCTGTTGTGAAAACCACTGTCTTCCTTCAGCTCTACTGTTATTTGGCACATATGATGTCACTTAATCCCAGGGAACAGTGCCTGCATAGTGGATAGGTAATTAGTCTTGGCCTACAATATTTATGGGGTGAATGGTGATGCATCTAAACCTTGGTGCAATTAAGATGAACTTTTTAAAGTATTTATTTGCTGGCAGGTGAGTTTACCCATAATGGATCTAGTAGACAAATACAAGGTTCAAACAAACAAACAAACAAAAAACCTGACTTACATTAGTCCAGCAACTTATGTTGTATCACTCCTAAAATTTCTTAATGCTCTGTGATGGCATGTCCTCCACTGTCCACATTGTAGAACATGAAAATCACGGACAGGCTGATGAAAATTGATCCCCTTGCCTCGATTTAAGAACGCATTTTCAAATGGTTTAGTACTCCTTATTGTTTAAAGCTAAAAGGACAGATCCAGATGAGGATGAGTGAAGTTTAGAGCTACAAGCTTAAACTAAGCCTACATGAACTCTTCTGTTGGTCATTTTGATGCTTGGCTTTAAGATGAACATTTCATTCAGCAGCATAAGAGTGGCTACTGAATGTTTAACTTCAACGTAAGCTGACCCCAGTTCAAAGTGGGATTTCTCTGTGTGCATATGTACATGTGTGCCTTCATGTGAAAAAGGGAAAAGTGGAAGGAATGAAACAGCAAATTTACTAAAGCTTTAAAGTGTCCTTCCTTGTTAAAAAAACCTTCTACTTGTAAACATGGAGTTTGTTCTGGTTTTGCATTCC